CCCACTGTGCGCTCAGCCTCCCCTGGTGGCAGCATGACAGAGGCAGAGGCTCCAAATGTCAGACCCTCGCAGCAGGAAATGCCACAGAAAAGCTCCCAGTAGGAAGATTTAGGCTGAGATTTAGGTGGTCAACTTGACCACCGTGTGCCCACATAGTTGGTTAAACATCATTTATTCCATGGGGGTGTTACTGGATGAGATTGACATTGGAATCAGTGGATTGATAAGCTGATTGCCTCATCCAATTCCACGGTGATCTGAAGAGAAAAGCAGAAAATCTCTCTCTCTCTCTCAATCTCTCTCTCCCCCTCTCTCCCTCCTTCCTCAGTTGCTTGCACTGGACATTGCTCTTCTCCTGCCTTTGGACTGACACACCATCAGTTCTTCCAGTTCCCCCAGGAACTGCACCCCAGTCTCTCTGGCCTACAGCTTGCCAAATGCAGGTCTCTCTGCCTCATAATCACACAAGGCAGTTCCTTACAATAAATCTCTGTGTCCACTAAGCAGGAACCCCCATCCCACCCACCCCTGCCCCTTAGCTCACGTTTTTGGCCTCCACAGTCAGCACAGGCGTCCAGAGTGATCTTTCTAAAGTGCACTTGCAGAAGGCCACCCCCTGCTTTCCAGTTCCTCACAGGAGGGGCAGCTACGTGGTGGGCTCCGTCGTCCACTAATTCTCGCTCCTGCTCTGTTTACAGCCCAGGGGCACCGGGCGAAACTCCCTGTGCTCCCTGGACATACGATCCTCTCTCAGGCCTCCATGCCTTTCCCCCGTGGTGCCTGCTGCTTGGAAAGCCCTTCTCGCTGTCTCCCGGGTCAGAGTCGAGCTCCCAGATCAAGTGCTTTCCCAGCTCCCCAGGTTGTCAGCTGCATCCCAGCTCCATCACCCTTGCAGGCCCAGGAACAGGCGGGGTTCTGGACTGTATCGGGGAGATAGCAAGCCACAGTCCCCTTGGGCCTCTCTCCCACCTCATAGGAACTCCAAATACTCTCATACCCCCAGCCCCATGTCTTTTCTCCACTGTGATCACAGCACAAGCCCAGTGCCACGTCCAGGGCAATCAGAGGTAGAAGCCCATTTGCACCCACGCCCTTCCCTCTGCCTTCCCATCCAGCATGCAATCCTGCCTTCCCGGGCCAGGACTCAATGCATTATTTTTAGACAGCACTTTGGGCTAGGGCTCCAGGAATCTGCTTGACACCTGAGGTGTAACCAGACCCCGGCTGGCACTTGTCTGGGCCCCTGGTTGAACAGAGGGGCAGTGAGAGGATCTAAGAGCAGTGTTGGGAGCCAGGGCCCCAGAGAGGCAGCACCCGAGGGCAGGCAGACCCTCCGCTGAGATCTAGAGAGCAGGGGCTTCCTCCTGGAGCACCAGGCACCCCTACTGCCTGGCTTGCCTGAGCCTGTCCTTTGGCAACTGGAGTGCAGAGAGGTCAAGGTTCCCAGTAGCAGAACTGGGGTTGGACTCATGGCCCCGCCGTGCAGTCAGCCTGCCAAAAATTGGGAGGAGGGACAGAGAGGCCTTGCTCCGGCTTTCCCTGCTTTGCAGCCCCATGCCGATGCAGTGAGGTGATAGGCTACAGGTTTGTTTAGCCAGTTTTGTTTAGCCATAAATAATTTGAGGTCTTTTCTGTTTGTTGTTAATGCTTTCTTTTATTTCTTTGCTTGAGATGTTTCCTTAAACTCCAGTAAAATACACATAGCATGAAATTTACCAACGTAACTGTCTGAATCATCCAGCTCAGTGTCATTAAGTACTTGAAAGCTGCTGGACAATCACCCACCCATCTCCAGACTCTCATCTTACAAAACAGAAACTCTGTCCCATGAATCACTTGGGCCCATCCACCGCTCTCAGCTCTCAGCCCCTGACATTGCATACCCCCTTCTGCTTGTCTCTGGAACGTGACTTCTCCAGGGACCTTATGGTAGTGGAATCCTGCAGAATTTTCCTCTTAGGACTGAGTGTGATGTTCTCAGGCTTCCTCCATGTTGTAGCCTGTGTCAGAATCTCCTTCCTTTTTTAAGGCTGAGTAGTGTTCCATGGTGTGTACAGACCACATTTTGTTTTCGGCTCATCTGTTGATTGGATACTTAGGTTGCTGCTTCTTTTTGATGATTGGGAATAATGCTGCTATGAACACGGGCATCCCGATAGCTCTTTGAGATGCTGCTTTAGGTTCTTTTGGGTATATATCTGGAAGTGGACTTGCTGAATCGAGGAAAATTCTATTTTTTAAGTTTCTTGAGGAACCGCTACTGTTTCCCATAGCAGAATTTGAAATTTTGAAAAATTAGTTGCCGCTGTTATAAGTCATTTGGGTCTGGAGTGTCTGCTGTGGAATGAGAGGGAGCTCTGATATCCTCGGTCCTGCACCCCAAGAAGCAGCATCATCAGACACCATGCTCTTCAGATGTCTGGGTCCCTCTCAAAGGGCCCCCTCCTGAGCTCCTTGGTTCTGATAAACCTTTCCTTTGTTCCCCAGTTTTAGGTGGGCACCACTTGGCTTAGTTGGGTTCTGTATTAACTCGGGGGCCCCTTTTTGCTGTTTCAGTCCTCCTGTACCTGTTGAACACGCCTCTGCATCAGGTCTCTCTGTTAAGATACCTGGTGTGCTCTGTTTTCCTGTAGGCTCTGGATGGCTCCAGTCAGCTGCCTGATGCTACACAGCAGCTCCCCCTTGGGTCAGGTAACCTTTCCCTACCCCACTCCCCTTTCTTTGCATTGGACTGACTTTGCCTACCTGGCCCTGTATCGTCTGATGTGTGTCTGCTCTAACCCAGCACCTCCTGCTTACCAAGCACCACCCGTATGCCTGAGACTGTGCAGAAGCTCCATGCAATGATTTCATGTCATCCCCTCCACAACACAGTGAGGCCAGTGCTGCCGTGATCCCCACGGCAGGAATCTGAGGACAGGACAGGGAAGGACTTGACCGAAGTCATAGCCAGGCATGGGCAGAGCTGACCACAGCGCCCCACATTCTCATAGAACTGTCCTTGAGGCAGCAAGCTCATTGCCCCTTGAAACCTTGCATGTGTTGGTGTGTTTGACAAGTGTCTGATCTGCGGGCTCAGTTTCCTTAGAAGAAGTTCAGTTGTACACAGTGCTTGAAACCAGAACTGCAGGACTAGCTTTGCCTGTCTTAGTTTTCTCACAGGGACCACGACAGACGTGACCTCGCGGTATTTCCGTGAGGATTAAATGACAGGATGTACTTAACATGCTCAGCCCCACACCCAATGTGTCAAGAAGTAACGAAGAAAAGTTGACTATTGATTTTATCATCTAAATGTAGGGCGTTATCATGCAGAGCACAAAATACACAGTGGTTGCAAGTGGTGCTTATGGAAAGTATATGGTCACGGAAAAATAATATGTGGAAAAAGAAAGGATTCAAAATAAAAATAGATGAACTCATGCACTAAAAAGACTCACAGGAAACACACCAAAATATTAACCATGGTTGATTTTGGGTGCTGGGATTTGGGGCAATTTAGTTTCTGACAAAAAAAGTGATAACTCACTAAAATGATGCTGAATTCCCACAGGCTTCTTTGCAGAAGTTGACAGGCTAATCTGAAAACCCATGTAGAAATGCAAAGGATCTAGACAGCCAAAGCAATCTTGAGAAAGAGGGACAAAGTTGGAGGACCTTGCCCCTGGGGAAGACATCAAGGCTGAGTGGAGAGTAGAGTGCAGTGGATAGCATGGCCATTGAGACATTCCCGGCTGTGGGTCACTCTCACTCTTCGGGAAGAATGCCTTAAGCTTCATTGACAGAGGTGCCTTAGAACAAGAGCTAAAAATTCTCATAGGAGTTCCTTTGGGAGGTTGTGAGGCTCTTGTCACTTAAAATGTGAGAGTCAAGGGAAAACCTGAGAAACAAGAGAATGGAAAATAGAATTCTTTAGGAATTCTACAGTCTCATGGTTTTAGGAAGAGAAATTGCTACCATGCCACTGTGATTGGAGGGGAAATACACATAGTGAGAATTTTCAGAAAGTTTATTTATTTTAAGCCCTAGTTTGTTTCTGTAGATCATTTCCCTGCTTTTTTGATGCAGAACTGCCCTTTCTTTTATAAAATGATGTCAATAATTTTTTTTTAATTGTCCTCAGTTGGCAAGGCCAAGTAGGAAGACTTCATCCTGTTACTTTTTGAAAACTGTTCTTAACTGAGAAATCCCCAACCTGGGGGCACTGGGGAGTAGCCCAGCTGCCTCTGGGTCACTCTCTCTGGCAGCAGATTGAACTAGCCACGCCCTGTAAGGCAGCCGAGCATAAGAAGAATGTGGTGGGTTCAAAGTGCAGCTTTGCCACTTACTTGCTATGGGAACTTGAGCAAGTTACTGAACCTTTTTGATGAGGATGGTTCACACAGCTCAAGGTGGCTGTGAGAATTAAACCAGATGACGTATGTGATTGTACCTGGATCCTCATAAGCACTTGAGAAAGTATACTCCAGAGACTATGAGTTCAATAAAGGCCTCACATTTCCCTTTTGCCTGATGAAGAGTTCTCATTTCTTCAGTCATTTTTTATATCCCTATGTTGGTCTCTTCTATGTATTCTCTAGTTTGTCATTGTCACCCTTGATATGCATATTGAGAACTGAACACATGCTTTTGGTAAGGTCTGGCTGTGTAGAGTAAGCCCTACTATCACCTCCTTCAATCTAGACTCTACCTCCATTAATGCAACCTAAGTTTGCAATGGATTTTGTCTTATGTGCTTATCTCACTCCTTTCGTATTTGTTGAGCTGAGGATACCTAACTGACTCAGATCTTTTGCACAAAAATGTGTATAATATCCTGTGTCCTAGTCTAAACCTGTGCAACAGAAACCTTAGACCTAAATGAGGGGCTTTACATTTATATCCTTTTATACTTTATCCAAGAGAGTAAGGTGCCCTCTCTGGAGTCTCAAATAAGACTTCACATGTATTCTTGCTCTCAAAAAACCAAAAGGAATATATAATTGACCTTTTTTAGCTCAAGGAAACAAATATTTATTTGACTTTTGATGGTGACCCAGGGCAATAGGGCTGGCACTAGGTGATGGCACTTCGGGGAGGTGCTCAGATGCTGTATTCTTTGTCCCCAGCATCTCACCAGCATCAGGTTGACCAGCAGGGACAGGCATGTGTCTCCCTGCTTCAGGGCAGTAGACCGTATGTCTATCCCAGGATGACTCTACAGGAACCATGAGTCCAAACAGATCATAGCTTGCAAGGTCCAGAGGCCCCCGACTGTCTCTGGAGAGCAGCAACATGAGAATCCTCCTGCTGATCCAGTCTCTGGAGGGCACAGGCCTGCACCTCCCTCTGCTTCCATTCTGGTAGCTGGACTGCACCCAGCACTGCCCTAATGATTCTGTGGTCCTGGCTGTGGCCATCATTCAGACCACAAGGAGGAGGGAGAAGTACTCTCTTTATTTCTCTAATCTGGCCTGCCCACGTGTCTCCCAAACGCCGTTCTGTCCTCTTGGGCTCGGGGTATACAGTGGCAGTCATGTGGGGCCCGGCCTGGCGGCAGACCTCAGCCTCAGTCAGCCTTCCTGAATCCTAAAAGGCAAAGCCCACAGGATGGCAAGGGACTCTGAAGGAGTCACGCTTCATTCAAACCACCCCAGATACCCAAATGCCCCTCACAGCTGGATAATGCACCACAAGTCTCTGTCACCCAAGGCCATTGTAACTCATTTCCCTTTAAGAATGAAATGGGCTAAAGGAGACAGAAATGCCCAGTGCAGAGACATGGCCCCCTGGTCACTCAGTATTGAGATAGTGGTGGGCAGAGTGGCTGGTCGAGAGTTTGTCCTTAGCCCAGCCCGGGCCACGCTAGCTGTGTGACACTGAGAAAGTCACTCCACCTCTCTGAGCCTCAGTTTCCTCATCGGTCAGATCGAGTTCCCCTCTCTCCCTCCCCAGTTGCTGTGAGGCAAATAAAACAACAGCGAAGATAGTTTTTGGGGGAAAGGGTGAAGTTCTAGGAGAGCACGAGGAGACTAACTCCCTTGCATCCTTTCCTCGTTTGATTTTTACAACATTATACCCATTTTCCAGATGAGGAAACAGGCGAAAAGAGGCTCAAGGATCCAAAAGCTCGAACCCTTCCTTGGCCCAACGCCAGGCCGTGTGCTCTTTCCTGTACGCTAAGCCTCATTCATGGAGGAAGCCCCGGATGGGGCAAGAGAATGTGAAAGTTACCCATCAGCCTCAACTTCTGGAAGAGGGGAATGAAGCCTCGCAGGACGCTGTGGATCCGGTACACTGTCGGAAAGGAAAAGAAGGGTAATGGAGCTTGGTGTCTCACCCGGGGTGAAGGGTCCCCCCTCCTCACCCCCCACCCTTGGACAGAGGCCTAAACCACACAAACAAGCTCTCTGGGTGGAATTTCAGGCAGTTGGTTTACTTAGATAATAGTATTAGAGTTGTTATTATTAAAAACAGCCACCATGAGCAGCAATAATAATACCAGGAAACGCTGCGAATTCAGTACTCAGTTCCATTCACTAACTTGTTTTCAGTATCTGGCTAATTCTGGGGGTTTTCTGCCACTCTAAACTGCTTTTGTTGCATTTTTATGGAACTGCCCATTTTTTCCACTGGGTTTTGCCAACGACCTTAGGTTGACCTTCAAAGCAGTCAGGAAGAAAACAGGAGCATAAGGAAATCTTTTAAAAATGTCTAGGAGGTGGTTTTCTAGTCTGTGCAGGCACTCGCGACCCTGGCGGCCACCGCCCTCCGCGAGCCTTACCCAGCCCAAAGTAGATGCCCACGGTCTCCAGGGAGGCAAAGGTGAGCAGGCCGACTCCCAGGGACATGAACCAGTCTGCAGGGCAGCAAAGGGGGACATGGTCAGCCTGTGGGCCTGGTCCCCTGCCCCCCACCCTGTCCCCTTGGGCCCCACTCACCGGCGTAATAGTGGTAACACACCAGCACGCCCCCGATGGCAAAGCAGAGGAGGACAAAGTGGAAAAACTCATCTGAAAGCAGAGGGGGGTTACCATTTGCTCCTTTCTTCTTTTTTAATTACTCAGAGCCCTGGCATCTCTAGTCTAATGTGACTTTATTCAGAGACAGGCTCCTGCCAGGTCCAAGGACAAGAGCACCCCAAGCCCCACTCCTTGCCAGCCCTTACTTCGTGTTACTACTTTTCTGACACGTATCACCATCCAACTGGCTGTATTTTCTTTTTTTATATTGATTCTCTGCTCCCCAGGGTGGTAGGTGGGGATTTTGCCCAGTGACTCAAGCAGTGCCAGGCATGCACAGGTGCCCATCCTTTGTCTGTCAAATAAACGTTCAATACGTTTGTAAAAAATGCAAAGGTGTCAAGTTTAAAAGTTCCACATCACTGCACTCCCCTCCCTAACGCCACTCCTTAAAAGCAAGCAGCGGCTGGCAAAGTCTCTCCAGGCACAGATACTCATTGAAAGAGAATCCAAACAGGGCATCAGCGGCTGCTCCCATTGCTTCTGCCTCCCGATGACAGGCCGAGGCCTCTTCCCATCTCAAGGAGGACAAGGCTCTGCCCTGTTCTTCCCGAAGGCTGCAGAGTCTCCACAGCATAGATGTAACCAAACGTATATAACTGGTCTCCCCACTGGAAAGCCTGCGTGTCTGATGTTCTACTGTTGCCGCCCATGCTGCAGGCGTCACTTCCCTTGAGCCTCGGTGCAGTTGGGCTCGTATCTATGGGGTCCTGATGCCTAGAGATGGAATTTCAGGCTTGGTGGTTCTCATGGTTAACAGAAGTACAAAGAGGGCCTGAGAGCAGGGCCGGTGTCTTGGGCAGGAATTCAGGGGTGGTTTGTGAATGAGGCCCCCCTTTATCTCATCAGGCACTGGGGAGTCATCAGGAGAGAGCACACAGGGCTCCCACCTGGTCAAAGGACCCTGTTTCCTGGAGTGAGGCAGGCTCCGAGTGATGAGGCTGCCAAGAATGTGTCTGAGTTCAATTTAGTTCATCACTGATGTGCTGTGCAACTTCGAAGACGTGTCCTGACCTCTCTGAGCCTTGGTGCTCTCATTGATAACTTGAGGAGGGCAGCCTGCATGTCATTGTGAGGATGGATGGGGGTCTTGAATGGGCAGAACCCTGGAAATGCTAAAAGGCAGCCAATACTGCTTATTATGGCTGTCAATGGGTATTTGGAGGAAAAGAAGGTGGGGAATACATTTTGGGTTTTGCTTTTTGGATTAGTTTGGAGGGCAAAATAAAAACGAAAACATTTTTGACTCTGAAATCCGTTTACCCTTCAGGAAAAATGACACATTATGAGAACCAGATTTAATGTTTAAAAGCATCAGCCTAAGGTCTCTCCAGAGACCACTGCTCACAGCAGCATCCAGCTCCCCGTGTCCCGAGAGCCACAAGTGGAGTCAGAGCGTCGTGAAAGACCCTGGGACGCTGAACTGAGACCCTGCACTAAGAAGTCTGAGCACAAAGGGGGACCACTCTCTCTTTGGGGTAGAACACCAGGTCCGAACGGAACCTGAACATGGCCCGCACTTGGGCATTCTCAGCACGAGTCCAATATCAGAGCTCCTTTCTTAGCCGGGGAAAGCTAAACAGCATGCGGAAGGGCCAGAGCCAGGGCCAGCACGCCACGCCTCGAAGCCAGACTTCTGCAACAACTCAAAATGTTTCCTAAACAACTGCCATTTATTTAATCAAAAACTAAGGTCTCCCTTCCCACCCTCACCTGCTCCCTGAATCCCCATGACTCCAGGCCTGGAGCAGAGAAGGTCCCTCCTGTCATCAAGCCCTCTCCAGACTCAGTCTAACCTAACCTCACCGCTTCCTTGGCCCAGCTCAGTTCAAGCTCCCTGTCCTGCCCACCAGCCCCCGGGGGGCATTTGTCATCCCTGTGACTCCACATACAGTAGAAAGAGCACAGCCCAGGGTCAAGCCAGGATGTGCCATTCAAGGCAGACCACTGCCTGCCTTGAGCCCCAGTTTCCACAGCTACGAATAGGAACCCTTGTGTCACCTCATCCAGGTGACCCTGAGCTGGGGAGTTTGCAGACTGCAAAGTGCACACGCGAGGGCTCTGCCCACCGTTCCTCCAGGCCACCAGCTTTCTAGCCATGGGCAGCTGGACCGGCCGGCAGCAGCAGCTGTGGGGCAGCCATTTTCTTACCATCTTTCTTGATGTTCAGTCTTCTTAACTGAGCGGCCTCATCTTCTGCTGAGGAGCAAGACAGAGAGACGTGCTGCCCTTCCGTGCGGCCGGCAGGCAGGATTTGCTCTTCCCTGCTCACTAAGAAGGGCCCCTCTAGCTTCCCTTCCCCGGGTCCGAGGGCACTTGCTGCAGGCCAGTCAGGGGAAAGCTGTGAAGGGGGGATAGCTGCCTGAGAGACCCCCGAGTTCTCCACCCCCACCCCCGTCTTAGTCTGCGTTTGTTCCACTTCCCCTGGGCCTGGGGGCCGCTTTCCTGAGCTGCAGTGACACGATGGCTGGCGATGGCCTCCCTCTGGACAGACCTGCCTCTCAAGCTCTCTGGGGCCCCATCCTGGAGCCCAGGCTGCCTCCTTATCGCCTCTTGAAGCTTGTGTATTTACCACTTGCTGGGTCTGAGCCTCTCCTCCGGATTCCTGGAAATGAGAAACTCAGCATTAGTGCCCAGGCCAGCTGTGTCTTCAGCAGGTGACTCCACCCCGGAGGAGGCCATAGATGACGCTGAAAATGCTTCTGTCGAATTTTCCAGCCACGAGGAATCTTTCTGTCCATTGATAGCACCTTTGTTTTCTGCCTGAACCCCCTTTCCAATCTCCACTGGACCCCTGCCTTCTGCTTCAGCCAGCACCCGCTGCTTGACGGGACTAGGTCAGAGCCCCAGGCCCCCAGGTGGACTTGGAGACTCTCTCTCTCGCCCATGCTCCCCGACAGCAGCTGGTTCTCACGGGGAAAGACACACAATGCCCAGACCTCGCTCAACACCAGCGCCCATGCCACCTCTCCCCGAACCGGACACTCACCTGACTCCCCAGAGGGCACCAGCTCTCCAGGGGCGCCTGTGCAGAAGGGAAATCGGTAATCACATATCCATCGTCCTCTGGGTGAGGGAAGTGGATCTTACCCAGAGACCTTCCATTTGCTCTGGATGGGCTGGTGGGGACTGGAGTAACCTGAGGAGAGCCCTCTTCCATCTAGAGGGGCGGGGCAGCGCCCACCCACCAGCTGCCGAACATGTCATGGGTTCCGGTTTCCCATGAGACATCAGAAATCAGGTTTTTACATAAACTTCTTGATTATCAAAAGCAGTTGGCAACTCTTGTCTTTCCTCAAACCAAAGACGTCATCTTTTGTGAGACATCATTATTTTATGTGCTGCTATGCAAGGGAAATCATTGCCCATTATAGCTGTTAGTTGCCCGTGATATTAAGATGCATTCTGATTTCAGGAATGTCCAAACGTGAAAAAGTGTGACTTGTAGAACTGATCATAAAGTTCTCTGTGCTCCAGCTGCATACATCTGCGTGCACAGATGTGCCGGTTCTTGTCTATGCACATGCTGGCCCCTGGCTCTGGGTGTCTAGTCTAGTTCCCTGGTGACAGCTCTCTCAGCCTGTCATCTCCTTATCCACAAAGGCAGGCAGGGACCATTATAACCACCTTCCACCACCAGGGGCCCCCCACTCACGGATGCTGGACAAGAAATTACCTCCATAGAGTTGAAGCTCATCCTTCAAAACGCCAGACTCATGGGGCTCAGCACCTGGGTGGAGACACTCCCTTTAGCCGGTTCTCCCATCACAGCAGTGCTCATCTCCCATGAGTCTACAGCCTTAAAAAAAGTAGCTCAATTCTTGTGCTGGGGGTGAGCTGAGCCATATCCAGGAGACAAGACAAGCAAAGGCCCTATGCCACGGCCCTTAGCATGCCCAGTGGTTGATGGTGCTCAGATTACTAAGAATTGGGGGCCCAAGAGGACCCAGGCCTCATTCAAAGTCAGTAATTACAGTTGCCATTTATTGAGCACTTACTATGCACCAGCACTACAATAAGCACATTTAGTGTTTCACATGACCCTCCTGACAATCCAGAGAAGAAGGTATGTGTATACCTCTCCCACCCCCACTTTACAGATCAGGAATCTGAGGCTCACAAAGCTAAATTCTTCCCTGAAGTCCACACACAGCCAGGAAGTGGCAACTCCAGGGTTCAACTCAAGTTTGTCACCAAAGCCCACATCCTCAATCATTTCCATCTACAGCAACAGAGCTCAAGCTCAACGCCAGCAGCATGGGCGGCCTCATGTGTACTGCGATCTGTACTGTGGGAATCAGTCTCTCACTCCCTTGTTCATTTCTTCCCAATACCCATTTGGGCTGAAATAGATCATCATTTTAAAAACATGATTTTCTTCTGGTCATGAAAATAAAACCTGGTGTCCTAGAGGTTAAGGCTCAGTGCTATCACCGCTACAGCCTGAGTTCGGCCAGGGAGCTGACCCACATGGCGCAGCAGACCTCTCCTGTTTCGCCCACTGCTCCCCTCAGCAGTGTATTTCAGTAGATCCACCTGTTCTGCTTCCCACTCTGTCTCTGGTGAATCCTCTATCTCCTGCACCTCTGGCCTACACTCCAGTTCTTCTAGGTAAACAAAAACCAAATAGGCTCATTGTAAAATATCGTGTAAGTTCAAAAAAGAAAAATCGCTCCTACTATAACCATCCAGAGGCAGTCACTAGTAATATTTTATATTTTTCCTTCCCATCTTGTTTATAAGGATGTTTGTGCGAATTTCTACAAAGTACATATGAGCTCAAACTAGTGGTATGATTTGACCTCTCTTTTCCAGGTCATATAGAAAGAACAGAGCTCAGAGGGGACAGGGTTTAGCATCGTTGCTGCATTTTGCTGCTGCCGGACATCAAGTTCTTCCTCTCCTTGTCTAGAAGCAACACTGGGAGGAGTGTCCTCATGCTCAGCCCTACTGAGAAACTCAAAGCGAGCGGGCAGAGGGGAAGTGTAAGGCCTATTGCCTACCGGGTGAGCCGTGCCCAGGGGGGCGTGCAGCCCCCTGGCTCTGCCGACGTTTTCCAGGTACTCGGAGGTGCCGGTCCTCATCACTGCTCTCTGTGGGGAACAAACACAAGCCATAGGAGAATCTCATGGAACACTCTTATGTTCATTCTCAGACTCTTGATGTGAGGAGTGTGGCGTGGGGGGCAGAGGTCTGCTCTGGGAATCCAGGTAGGAGGTCTGCCATGAGCTTTCTGTGTAACCCTGAACAAAGCACTGGATTTCCCTGTTGTTGCCCTCAGGAGGCTTTCAGGAGGATAAGGCAAGTCAACTGAAGAATGGTGTCACTAAGGAGTTGCTCCCCCCATGAGGTGCAGGGCTGTGCCCCCACGTCTCTACGCCACGGCCATGTGTTTCTGCTCATACTCCGCCTCTCACTGGAAGCCTGTCCCCTTGTCTCCCTGCTCTCGAGGGTTAAGCTGACATGACACTCCAGCTGCCCCAGTGGACACTGGCCCTGCCCTCCCTCCTCTAGGGTTTCCATGACCTCGCTGTCTGTCTGTGCTGGACTCGGTGGGCCTGAGGCTCTTCTGCCATCGCGCTCCCAAGGACAAGGCCTCAGTCCACACTGATCCAAGGGCGCCCTGCCCGGAGCAGGAACCTGATCAAGACTTGCAGAGTGCTTGAGTTGTTGGCTCTCCTGTCCCTGCGTGCTTGGGGGCCTCCAGCTCAATATGGACACACTTTAAAATTCCAGGAAACCACGTGAACTGGTGAGAAATCTGTGCCTATGCGATCTCAATATGGAGAAAGAAGTCTCAGCATGGACATCAAGATAACAACAGCAGACACCATGTTTTCTAACTTTATTTTCATAATTTTGGAAAAGATATTTTTCAGTGTCCACATGTGACACTTTTTTAATGAGGGGGACTCTCGTGACCTAGTCCCGCACATGTAAACTGGAACACACCTATTAAAGTAATTGGCCATATCTATCAAAATGCTGAAAATGCCAACCATTGGATCCATTTCTCAGGTTTTCTAAGAATCTGCCCCACAGATATGCTGTAGTGTTCAAAGATCTGTCTTTACCACAACATATTTATAGTGGTAAAATTTGGAAATAACCTAAATATTCAACAGTATAGAAATGCAATAAAATGGCAATATATAAAAACAAGGGAATTCCCATAAATGAAAAAAGTCTAGCCATAAAATAAACAGCCATACAATAAAGTAAACCTGTAAAAATTAATATATAATTTAAATAATGATCATTTAAATTTAAAAGTAAAACCATAGATCAACACAAAAATGCCATTTTTGTCTTTAAAAGGGTCTTGTAAGTAGACATACTCCCGGTGTATGCATTTAGGGCATCTGGAAGGAAATACCCTTAGCCCTTAATCAACAGTAGCTCCTTCTGGCAGGAGGCCCAGAGGCTTTCTCACGTCACATGATTTTGAGTAATCAACCCTTACAATCACTTGTTAGCTTAAAAAAAAAAAAAAAGATAATTGGTATTTATCCAAAGGGATAGGATTTTGAGCTCCTATTTTCTTCTTTTCTATAGTTTACAAATTTTAACCAGTGTAAAATAGACTTTTTCATTGCATTTTGCATAATATCAAAACATTCAGAAAATAAAGAAGTAGAAGTTATTTCAAATTTTGTCTGCCAGAGGCAACCTACACCAACCTTCGAAAGAACACGATTTTCACCTTCTCTACGATATAGTCACAGTATAGAATTGCTAATAAGAGATGTTAGAGAATTATGGGCTGTGCAAAATGAGGGCGATGTTTCTGTGTGTTCTCTAATTCAATTATTTTAAAAATAAGCCCTGATGTTCTGCTCCCTGCTCTGGCTCTGGTGAATTCTCTCACCCTCCTGAGCTTCTGACTATACCCAGGTGCTTGTATAAATAAAATAAATCTTTAAAAAAAAAAAAAAAAAAGAGCCCTGGCAGGAGGAGTCACTGTTTGTTGCCAGCGTCTCCAGCATCCCCGGCTCCAGCACCCACCCCAGCCGGGGATGTTACTGGGAGGAACCTGGGGGTGCTACCTTTCCAGTACCACCAGGAGACTAGCTACAAACTGACCACTGTACCACAATGGCCTCCCTGCTCTGTCTGCTGCAATCAGCATAGTTTGGTGGCTCAGTCTCAGCATCTGCAACATGATGACGCAAGGCCAGAGCTCTGCAAGCATTTTCTAAAAATTGAGCTCAAGAACTTCTTCAACATATATTGTCCCAGGCCCAAGCCCACCTTGTGAAACAGATCACCCGGCAGGAGCGCTGGAGGACACCAGAGCCACCCCTCAACCTCCAGGTAATTTTGCGGTGGTTATAGAGCCCACTTCCAGGAGGTCTCTGGGCCTCAGTTTCCTCACTGTAACGAGGGAATAATGATAGCACCTTCCCAGTGTGCAACTGTGAGAATTAAGTCCCTGGCACACAGTAAATGCTGAACAAATGCTAGATGTGAGGTTGTCCATGCTGCAAATGCTGCCCTCCATTTTGGATGAAAAGGATACAAACAAAAGAACATTCTGGTCACTATTAGAAAATAATGGCCCAATGTGTAATGAAAGCCCATTAGAGATGCCTATTTCTCTAAACCTACTCAAGTACTTGTGGGGAATTGATATCCAGGACATGCTTTAGAGGACACTCTTAAAAACTTTTATGGGAGGACACTCAGGAGTATGATAAACTGGGGAGGGTGAGACTCAATGATAATAGTTCTTTTTGGAGCTTTTGTGTGTGCTAGATGCTAAGACTTCACATGCATGTGTAAAGGATGAAACCTCACAGGAATTCTATGAGGTGATGCCTTGTGTTATCACCCCCATTTTACAGATGAAGACACTGAGGCAGACATCTCGTGGTAAGCACTTTACCCAAGAACATGCAGCCAGTTAGTAGCAAAGAAAGGATTTGCACCCAGCAGGCTGCTGGGCAGAGGCACCCACTTCAGCCCCAGATTGCTCCTAAGAAGCCAAGATACTTCCCATGAAATACAGCCCCTCAGGGGTTATTTGGGAAGCAGGAAGCCATGGTGCAAAGATACTACAGAAGAACATGCTAAAATGCTCAGTGGACGATGGCAAAAAAATTGAAAATTAGGACAAAATTATGTCACACGGCTAGTTCTAACTGCATACAAGTTTTATGCACAGACAGGAGGGCCGGGAAGAGCATGTGGGGAAGTAGACTCAAAGCATCCAAGTGGAGATTTTTCCACAGAAATGCTTTTTTTGCATAGTATTGGGTGTGTGTGCTGTTTTTTCATTTTTGCTGTACCTGAGGCAGAGGACGATGACGAGGATGATGAGGATGACGAGGATGATGAGGATGATGATGATGAGGAGGAGGAGGAGGACTTGTCTTTCTCATCTTGTTTTGGAGAGACGATCCCGGCCTCCCCGTCTTGGGTGTGGACATCCGTCTCTCCATCTGGGAGGCACACACAGCAAAGGATCAACATTTCCCGCCCCTCCCACTGCAGAGACCACCAAGGCTTCCCCACGGGTCTGTCTGGATTGAGGGAGCCAGGAGGGGCTGTATTCTCTGGAATACTCTTCCCAAGCCCCAAGGGTGGATGGAAGGTGCAGGAGATGAGGGTTCTCAGAGGCTCCAGATGTTCTAGGAAGGCCCAAGGCAGAGATTTCCTTGATTAGGCAGCCCAGAGACAGGGTTTTAACCCCTCCCCCTGTCCCACCCACAGCCACCTAGAGTGGTTGCCAATTTAGGATTTTCTGTAAATTATAGGACTGGGAGAATCTGATCACCCCTAACCTTCCCATCTCCTATTCTGGGGTCGTATAGAACCCTTCCCACCTTCTGGGGACTCCCCCAGTGCCAGACCCAGAACCTCAATAAGCTTTGGGAAGCAACTAAGATCCCCACAGCTAGAAAGTGCTAGGGAATAGATTGGACCAAGCACATGTATGTGTGTGCCTGTGTGTAAAATCACTACTTCCCTAGAGTTTTCAATTATGGGCCATTGAGCCCATAGTTGGGCCACTGAGCCACATGAGTTGAACAGGCTCTTCTGTTTACCCACTGCTGGCAACTACCTCCCATGTGGTTTTGCCCGGAGGGTCAGGAAGCACACATACGGTTTATATCTTCTGCTTCTCCATGGTCTTGACTCTGGTCTTGGGTCTGGGAGGAGAGTCCTGAAGTCTCCATGGACTTCCCTAGAGGGATAATAATAGTAATTAATATAGGGCCTCCCCTGGTGGCGCAGCGGTTGAGCCCTGGGCTGCGAAGCTGCCCGCAGCCTCTGAAGCGCCAGTTCGATCCCTGGTCGCTGGCAAGGGTCCCACATGGCGCCAGCAGACCTCCCCTGCCGCGCCCACTGCTCCCCTCAGCAGTGTATTTCGTCAGTCTGCCTGTTCTGTTCTCCGCTCTGGCTCTGGTGAATTCTCTCACCCTCCCGCGCTTCTGACTGTACCCAGTGCTTATAGAAATAAATAGATAATTTTTAAAAAAAAATTTTAAAAAATAATAGTAATTAATATCACATTAGTGAATAGCATTAATATATAAAGAACTTGAGAAATAAATAAAAAAAGGACAAATACCCAATATTCAAAGCTACAGAAAAAGCAACTGACAAAAGAAGAAATACACATGTAGGGAAGTTGCAATGATTATCTTATGATAATACAGAAAACTTACTCATTTCTTAAAAATAGACTTTTGTTTTTAGAGCAGTTTTAGGCTTATAGCAAAACTGAGCAGAAGGTACAGAGATTGTTCATGTATACCTTCCCCCCAACTTGCATAACTCCCCCATCATCAACACCCTCCACCAGAATATTTCTTTTTTAGGTCCAATATTTATATTGAGGGTTATTATATTTATTTAATGTCTCCTTAAAGATAAATACTGAAATGTTTTTGATAAAATTATATGATGTCTGGGGCTTGCTTCAAAATAATTTTGTTGGAAAGTTGGAGGATATAGGTGGGGTCCAAATAAATAAACATAACCTTGAGTTAGTAAGTGTTGGAGCTATATGAAAATATACACAGTGGTTATCTGGGAGGTGGCATTCTGGATATTTTTGCTTTGCATTTACTATTTTAACAGTATTGCTTTTGTTATAATAAAATGAATAATACGTTTTCATTACTTAAAAATGTAATATGTTCCCTTACATCAGTGGAGTTAACAGTTTTACGAAGGACTTGTGTGTCCATAACGACATCTGAGTCTGACCACAAACCAGTCAGGAAGGAATTGGGATTAATTACTCCTCATGTCGAATTGTAGTTTTTAGATGACAAAATGTCCCCAAAGATTGTCTCATTTAATTCCTTAAAAAGCCCTGCAAGGCAAGTTTTATTTTCCCCATTTTATTTTTTCCCTAGGGCTCCAGGGCCCATATTCTAGTTGATGTGCCCCAAAATGTTGGCCTGGGCCACAGAGCTGCTCCAAGGTGGAGCCAAGCCCCACTAAAGAGCCTGTCAGGATTATGGAGGCCTGGGCAGAGAGCAGACCTTTGAGAGCAGAACCACTGGAGAGAATCTGTCCCTTCAGGACACCAGACTCTGTGCTTCCCCGAAATTCCGAGAAGGAGCAAAAGTAACTGGATGAGTGTCTTCAGGCAAGGCTATGACTGGTCTTGGAAAGTCCAAATGGCTGATATTGAGCTGGTGCTCTCTCTTGGGGAAAACGCATGGTTGTCTCAGTAGTGCTGCCCCTCAAGACCTTGATTCTAGCTGGGTACACGGCCACCTAGTTAGAGACTACATTCCTAGCATCCCTGGAATCTATGTGCAGTCACAAGACGACTCTTCCTGCCAATGGGATATGAGCGGAAAGGGTTCCTTCCAATTCTTCCTGCCCCCAACCTCTTCCTCTTGCAACCACAAATTTGATCTCCTTTCCTAAGAGTTTGGTTGTTGTTTTTTTAAGATTCCACATGGAGGTGAGAACATATAGAATTTGCCTTTTGCTTTTTGTCTTATTTGGCTTAGCATAGTGCCTTCAAGTTCCATTCATGTTGCCACATAGAGTAGGATTTTCTTACTATTCACCACTGAATAATATTCCATTGTACAGCACAACTGCTTTATCCAGTCACCCACTGATGGATACAGTTATTTCTGTGTCTTGGTGATGGTACATTAGGGCGGCAGTGAATGTGGGTATGCAGATATCTTTTCGAGTTAGTGTGTTTGTTTCCCTTGGATGTATTCTGAGATGTGGAATCACTGGATCATATGGCAGCCCTAGTTTAAATTTTTTTTTAGTAATCTCCATACTGTTTTCCATAGTAATTGAACAAGTGGACAATCCTAACTGTTCACAAAGGTTCTCTTTCTTGCACATCTTCGCCATCGTTTCTTATCTGTTGTCTTTTGACTGTTCTCACAGGCAGGTATGAGGTGATAGCTCCTGCTGGTTTTGATTTTGCATCCCCTGATGACCAGTGACATTGGGACTCTTTTCCTGGACTTTTCTTTGAAAGATGTCTTTGTCCATTTTTAAATTGGGTCATTTGTCTTTTTGCTATGAGGTGTTAGTAGTTACTTTTGCTTTTAATATATTTAAAAGAATGTTTATATAATTTAATAATGGTTGTGTTTCAAAAACGGCACCCAAAATTCAGAAAGATTTAACAAAAAAATAGCCTTTCACAAGCAGTAGAATCTCAGCTCTGAGTACAGCAGCTTCTGCTTGCCTTTTGCTTCTGAGGTTGAGTGTGAAGCAACCTCAGTCATGCAAACTGAGCCACCAGCCTGGCCCAGGAAATGACTGCACATGGGGCCTAAGGAGCCAGCACCCCCAAGACCTGACTCCCAGGGCCGCCTGCCTGCCGGAACCTGCCTCTGGAAGGCTCCCTGCACAAAGAATGAGCTGCTCACTAACATGGGTCTGCGTTTTGGTCTCTTGTTATAGCAGCTCAGCCACATCATGCAGGCTTCATTCTGGCCTGACCTGTTTCTTCTCCCAATTCTCAGGCTTCAATTCTGAGAAGAAGGGGACTCGCCAGTCTCTGACCCATATATTTTCCCTTTCCTACAGTCATATGTTAATTGAGCACCTACTGTGTGTTAGCACATTGGGTATTGTAATAATAAGCAGCTGCCCTGACTTCAAGGAATGTTGAGGTGGACCTGGGATTGAGGAGACTAAATCGAACCAGGGGCCATCAGAGGAAGTTCCTGAAGGAGATTCTGGAAGTGAGTTTGGAAGTGTCAGATGGGATGGCAGGCAAACAAGGGGCCCTGGCCTGTGTGGGAAGCAGCTGGGAGGAAGCAGTTCTGAAGAAGAATGGGATTTGGGAGAGCCCTGAGGGTACCTCCTTCTTGCCCCCTCCCCTCCCACTGGTAGCTCTGGGCTCACTTTCTTGGAGCCTGTCATGGCTGCCCTGCACCAGGCTCTTCCCTGAGGCAGGGCGTCCTGCTGCTCAACTCCAGGAGCTGCTGTCCTGGCAGCTCTCTGCCAGGGCTCAACTGGTCTGACACACCTAGGGTGTGCCTGCCCCACTAGATAGGAACCTGCCAGGGTAGGGGCAGAGGCTGACTCATCTCTGTGCCACCTGTACCCTGCACAGGACCTGGCAGAAAGCAAAAATGATGATGGTTGTGGTGGTGATGGTGATGATGGCGATGATGACAATGGTGATGACAATAACTAAGTGCTTACTCTGCCAGGCGACGACTAAGCGCATTGCTTGAGTTAACTGTGCTTTGCTCACCACAGCCTAGGAGGGCTCACTCCGGCTGTACCCATGAGAGCTAAGAAAATAAAGTCACAGAGAGCTAAGCCAGGTGCCAGGTCACAGAGACAGTAAATGGTAAGGGGAGCTGCTCAATCCAGGCTGGAAGATAGAAGGAGTGAAGCACGCGGCTCTGGCCAGGCCCCTGTGATTAGCACCAGGAAAGAAGCTGCTGGCAATCAGGGGAGTGTGACACAACTGATGACGCCCTAGCTTCTGTTTGGCCTTGATGGAGCCCTGAGTGACTGTGCTCACAGCCAGGGAACATCCTCAGGCAATTCTTTTTTTTTTTTTAAGATTTATTTTTATTTATTTATTGTGCAGAAAAACTGGGGTGCAGGCCAGAGGTGCAGGGGGTAAGAGGATTCACCAGAGACAGAGTGGGGAGCAGAACAGGCAGATCTACTGAAATACACTGCTGAGGGGAGCAGGGTGAGACAGGAGAGGTCTGCTGCGCCATGTGGGTCAGCTCCCTGGCTGGGGATCGAACTCGTGCTGCAGTAGTTGTGGATAGCTTCATAGTGCTAACGCTTAACCCCTTGCACCACCAGGGAGGACCCCATTTCTACTTAATTTTTAACTAAAAATAGTTAATAGTATATGGTTCAACCCTGTCTGTCCATTTCAGACACCAAGTGTCTTCTCCACTAAGTGGGTTCCCCAGATGCCAATGGGGAGCCCCTACAAGCTCTTCTGTTTTTCCACATCCAGACTATCGCCATAGGTTGGGGTGCAATGGCCCAGACGTGGGTGGATTTGAGGACTAAACTATATAGCTTTAACTCAGTTGGTCCCTGCAGTGTGGACAAGTGGCTTCGAAGGGGGCACTTCACAGGAAACTTGGAAGTAAATAATTGAAACCAAGCAGGGAAAGTGCAGGCCACCTGCTGGCTGCTCCGAGTTCAAGTCTGTCCCCAGGATGTTACCTGCATGGGACCGCACACAAGGGGTAGTTCAGTGAGACAATAAGAAAGCTGGAAAGCTGGAATCCCTCCCACTACCGTCGGTGCAGAAATTTACTCCAAGTATATATTGGGCCTCGAGGCATTAGCTAGTGGTCACGGCACTTGTGTGTCATTTCTAAATCTATAAATACATATGTGGCGGGGGGGGTGTCTAAAGCTTTTCACTTGAGAAACTCTTCTCAACCAAAATATGTGACCACAGAAACCCTTGCTGGCTTGGAGAGCAGAGAGCACAGTGATGGACAGCAAGGCCTCCCACCCAGAGGGGAAGAAGGTGAAGGGTAAGAGGAGGAGGGAGGGGTGAGAAGGAAGGGGGAGAGGTGGGGTGCTCACCATGAAAGGCAAGAGGGAAAAAAGTCAACCTCTTCCTCATGAGGACAATCTTTTACAACTGCACAAAGGGGCAAAAACTGAAACTGAAGGCTACCTTTCCTTCTGAGTAAGAAGAAAATCAACAAAATGCTTGGCAGCAGAGCAGGCGGTGTCCTCACTAAAGAA